AAAGAAACACCAAGGGCTAGCGCTATAGTCCTTTCAGCGCCATCCACGTCATCTGGCTCCACCCCCCCCTTCCCAAATAAAAAACTGATTATTTGTAATATAATGTTCTAAATATGCACAATGGGATGAAAAGGTATCCTATTTGTGAATAAGCGTGTTTAGTTTTTCTTAAAACTTATTCGTCTTACTCATTAATTTTTGGTCGATTTCGTAAGCACTGAGGTAAATGTCCTAGCTGGTGATAAAAACGTGTCAGATACTGATCAGTAGTAGAAAGAGTACAGATCGGTTATTTCTTTGTCCCCGCTACCACAAATCACATTTTGTAAATTCGTCATTACTTTCCATTACGAATTATTGACATGAAGGGCTTTTCTATTCGGAAAGAAGAAATGGTTCTGGGTACGTGTCTGCCACGGTCAATGACTGAGTGAAAGTCGTTCATATCCAAACCCAGAGTAAACAGGCATGTTGCTCTGCCGTTGCTAAATGAAAATCCTTGTGAGAGTAATTAAACACTTCATGGGAAATCCCACACGATCCCTCTACAGCAAAGAGTAGATAATAAAAATCGACTAAGAACAGCAGCCAATATAGGTCAGTTCTCTTTAGTTTACAGCTGAATATTATAATCCGAAGCGCAAACCGAACCGGCTCCTAAGTCCTCTCCACTTCGCTCGTCTTTACCTTGGACTTACGTGTTGGAACACCAACTCATAGTGATAGGCGCTTTACGATTCGCACCCCCCCCCCTCTTCTATCCCTATTAGTTCTCAATTTTTTTCACGAAATTTCGAGCATATACGATCAATGTCCTTCGAGATGTGTATCTTCGTTACTGATTTCAGAAAGCACTAAAATTACAAAATATATAAGATAAACTTCTTGTGTTTCGTTTCGAATAACCTTTAGATTTGCATTTTTAATGTCAAAATCGGGTATAGTCTTTTGGACATAAAAACCTAATGAACTCGAATCGTTGCTCTAAATGGTCTGAGATTGATATACTCCATGTCACGTACCATATTAGTTGAGAATATATGTCTGCTAATATTGTGTATTGTAAAAATGAATCTGTTTGTGCCACTTAACTCCACAGGCATGATTCACATTTTGCATCCCTAGTTGCAAGTTTTCCACAGCAATACTTGTCAGTGCAATGCTATGTTCGCCTTTTTCGGACACACAGAGATGGGAAGAACCAAAGTGCTGCCCAGCTGGCCCTTGGTATGTTCGTTTGAGTCTGTATAATAATATGTATTGACAAATCTATTTGACAATGATGAAATTAATCATCCCACAAAAATGTGTTTGTTTGCGTTTCTTTGTCACTATGTTTAATCATACTCAATTCCTTGTCCTGTAAGGACCCTGGCACAGGTCATGCATCCCTTCATCTGCCTTTCCAATTGTTTATACAGTTTGAGCCTGTGTGATGGCCACAGAGTTTCCAACAAAATACAAGACCTGTGCCATTGAATTTTTTGGCGCTGTTTTAATACTGTCGATCTGGTTCAACACGTGTAAAGTTTACGACCACTAATACTGTGCTAAAAGATCTAAAAGAACCACATGAAAATATAATTTAGAACTTGAGAAAATCCTTTATTTTAGACTGCAGCTTTGACAACAAAGAGTTTTTCCATGGCAAGCTCTTGCTGAAGCTGAATTTTGTCTACATTAATCGATTTTTCTTGTAAGTATGGACATTGTCCTAAGTATTAGTGACATTCGTCCTCATTACAGCAATATAAGTCATTGTAAACTTAATAAGGCAACAAAAATGACCCTGGGTAAGTAATGATTTTTATTACCTCCTTTCCTCAGGTCATGCTGTAAATAATTTTGTTCAATCCTTAAAACATTTCCTTCTTTTCCGATTCATTGCTAAAGGTGTTTGTCACATTTGATTTAGAGTATAATCTGAATAACATTTTGTTTTGTCAGAAATATTGATTTATCTATTGTATTGAACCCACGCCATCACCGACCCTCATTCATTCATCAGCCAAAACATTAGTTTTTACGCCCCCATCCATACAGTTTAGATCATTTGGGAGGCGGGATTTTAACCCTGTCTGTCAGGACCAACTCGAGCACAGAGAGATTCATCCCAGCGGAAAGACCAAAGTTACTCAATACAAATGTTCTCCCAACTCGGGATTCGAACTCGGATCTTCTGCACGCAACAGCAAAGCGCCTAACCTCTACGCCACAGACGCCGGTATACCAAAGTAATAATTATTATTCAGAAGTCATAATTTGTTTTGAATAATCCGTCAACTTTGTTGTAATCTGAAGATTATAACCTGTTAAAATGTAATCATAAATAGCTGTTGTGAACAATACGATTTGCACTGAAAGCTCATGAATGCATTTTCCGAATTTTAAACAACATATAATTCAATTTCTAATCTTACGTCGTTGTATCATTTCTATTCTTATGAAACCACGTTTTCATAAACATCACAAATTAATAATTCTAAAAACACAATACCACATGTTTATAAACATCACAATATTATATAAAGGTAAAAACCCAGGGTTATGTTTTCTCAACCCGGGCACGTTACACTATAGAGGTTCCGCTAACTTGAAAATAAAGTGAGGCACTCTTTTTTTAATGCTGTTTTTAGATTCACTTAGTACATTTAATTCACCCAGTACTGCATATCTAAACATCAAAAGTGACCATGTAATGACTAGAAATGGTCACATCTTGCTGCAATAAACTTGTATGATTCTAATTTTTTAAAATCTTCTTTTGCAGGACGCACTGGATAGGGAATTGGATAAAGTGATTCTAAGATGGATCTATGGAAGAGAAGCATGGCAAAAAGAGGGAGGAATATATTGTAGAGCTGCGTTTTCTTCGAACGCAGATATTAACAAGTCCAAATTGCTCGCGATGGGTAAAAAGGGCGCTGCATTGGAACATGTGACACCTCACGACTTAAACAGATTATAATTCAGAACATTTGAGAAAAACGAAATAGGCCCCCCCCCCAAAAAAAACACGCGAGGAAAATAAAACTTTGTGTACAATAGTGACCACATGAGATATCAATTTGCAGAGAAACGAATGAAAATTCATATTTTCCTATTAATAGCAGGAATAAACAAGGCTAAACAGAAACACTGTTTGACTCTTGAACAGCTAAAAAGATACAAAACTATCTCATATTTTTTCTCCCGCGGTAAAAAATAGAAAAGAGCAAGAGAAAAAAGAAAAGAAAACAAAATCGAAAAAACAAAAACAAAACACAAACAAACAAACAACAATAAAACAAAAACAAAGAAAGAACGAAACGAAACAAGAAGAGAAAAGCGACCGAAAAGAATGTTAACTAAGCAAAAATACAAGGAACATTCTCAACCTCTGAAAGTCTTTCCTCTGGCCAACTGAAACATCAGTGCTCCGTCTCTGTGGTCCCACCCCTGGGACACGGTGTCGTTAAGCACCAGGAGGTACAGGTAGACCACGTCGTGAAGGAAAGGTGAGTAGGCTGAACCCTGGTTTGATGGTATCTCAGGTGTGAGTGGAGAGTTGAATGACTCAGGGGGTGGGGGTGGGGGGGGGGAGGGTAGAACACCGCTTTCATGATCACGCAATTAAAAGTAGGTCACGTGCTTCCATGGAAAAGATTTAGAGCTTTTTATATACCAAATTAATTAATGCTTCTAAATTATTAAGGGTCATCATTTTTTGTGGTAATCTCTTGTCCCTATGCAAAAGTTAGCAGCATATAAAAACATCTCAGCATGGCACTTACTCTATGAAGAATCAGATTTTCTTCCAAAAAACAAACAAAAATGTGAACATCCTCTAAGATGCAAAGATACTGCAAAATTCCTAAGACCTAATCCGAGATCAGCTTTAAAACCCGTGAAGATGGTTGAAGCCAATGGGAAGTTTGGCCGAAAAAAGTCCAGTTGAGGTCTTCCTTTGGAACTTATTTGTATTAATGTGCACATCCGGGTCTCTACTCTATTTGAAGCCAACACAGAGGATAGTGTGCGTATGCTGGTGTGTGCGTGTGAGTATGTGTGTGTGTGTGTGTGTGTGTGTGTGTGTGTGTGTGTGTGTTAGTGTGTGTGTGTGTGTGTGTGTGTGTGTGGATATGTGTATGTACATGTTTGTGTGTTGTGTGTATGTGTCTCTGTGTGTGTGTTTGCGTGTGTGCGAGTAAAAGTGTGTGTGTGTGTGTGTGTGTGTGTGTGTGTGTGTGTGTGTGTGTGTGTGTGTGTGTGTGTGTGTGTGAAACATAAAATCAAAGTAACAAGATCTGGAAATAAATATTTATTTTATCTTAGCTTTGACGTCAGGCACGAAAGGCGGTTTCATGAAAGGAGACCTCACGGAGAACGTTACTCTCTGACCATTCACAAAGTGAAGGAGAATGGCGTAGCTGTGAAGATGGTGCAAAAGCTGATGACTCCCATGTCGGCAATACACAGTACTGAGCGTTGATCAGTTTTAAAGCACTCACAGGAATCGACTTTTCTAGCACACACTGCCCTAAAGAGGGACTCCCATCACCAATCGAAAGGCGTAGAGTGAAAACCGATACGGGACAAACGCTATGGTATTATCATTAGATGATATGTTAAATTCGAACTTATTTGACCCTCTTTGCACACCCAGTGTCTCCACCCTTTGTGAGGCCAACATGGTGCTACGTAAGAATTATAAAATTATATCCGACATTTTTGGACGTTTTAAGTTACTATAAGACAATGAGGTCAGAAACCAAATGTTCCGTCTGCTCTATCAAAGTCAAAAGATAATTTTTTTGTCGTTATCAAAGTGTTCAAATAATTGTATTCGATAATAAGCTTGACCACGTGACACTAAAAGTTTTAAACTTCAAATTTCTCAAAATTAGGTACTAGCAGACACAACTTTGTAATTCTAGGATAGCGACGGGGATAGCAATGACGTCATGTGTTAAAGACGTTTTTCTGAATCGGTTTATGAGTCGGTTCTAAGTATTGCAATAACTTTCTGTCAAGATTGTATGAGATGGGTTTTAGTTCTTGTTTAATTTAATACACCTTATAATGACTTTAGCAAAAGAAGATTTTGAATTATTCCAGTCACTACAGTGCCTAAATTTATTCGTAGTACAAGATGTCACATCGAAATAGGTTATCCATAATGACAAAAATGGACTGTCGAGCGATCCAAATCAATGAAAAGATTATTCCTCCTCTCCCCTCAAGGCAATCAGTTAAAAGCCGTATCTACTAAATAATAGTTTTGGGATTATTGTAGCAATGCACATTAATTGCAGCCGTACGACTATATGATTTGGAGGTCTGAGTGACGTCATACAACTCCATCCTTCTGTTATGTGTTTGCGTCGCCACGAAATATCAATTCGGCTTACCCCAGACTGGTGTATATTATATCCTCAGGTTTTATTAGGAGCAATTCTCAACAACAAAAGCCTGATTCTGCTAACTCCATTCCCACAGAAGTCAAATAATCAGTTAAAATTTGGACTACTTTTCTTACCCTCCGGGCTTGTTTGTTTTTTTGTTTCTTTTTTTGGGGGGAGGGGTTCTGTTTGTCTCATTTTTTACCTCTGTACTAAATAATCGTTATCATGTCGATGCGTCGTTGTGCCTCTCTTTATTCAATGTGCTAACTTAGTAAAAGTGTATCTATGGCTATGACAGATATACATTTTTTTTCAATTATGGACAATAAACCTTGATCTCTGCCAGTTTTGTGCAGGGCTATTATTTTTGTGGAGGAAGGGACATTTTGATATATTTTAGCTGAACTTTCTCTTCAAGACTTGTCCTCCGAAAAAAATAGAATACGATTTCAGAAGCACCGCAGAATATGAAAGAAAGTCTCTGAATCACACACACACACACACACACACACACACACACTCACGCACGCACACACACAAACGCAAACACACACCTACACAAATATATACACAGACATACAGAAATTCTCGTGCTCACACATATACAAATTCAGACAGAGGCAAAACAAGCAAAGATGCACGAATTTCGCTTAATCTTTTAAATTTTTACTCTTACACACCCTAAGACTTTTTTCTCCTGTGGTGTTGTAGAACCAGGGAGCATCTGCCATTTTTTCGCCGACCAAATCCCGAAACCGCTCATATTCGCCACTTGCAGACTCGGCAACGGTCATCTGTTGCGAAATTCAAGTTTGACATTAATCAAAATATCAGAACAGCATACGTTTATACGTTTACAGTACACTACACTACACCACACTGCACTGCACTGCACTGCACACACAATACTTATTCACACACATTACTCTCTCTCTCTCTCTCTCTCTCTCTCTCTCTCTCTCTCTCACACACACACACACACACACACACACACACACACACACACACACAAGCACACACACAAGCACGCACACACACTAACACCCCCCCCCACACACATACACACACACGCACACACACACACACACACACACATATATATATATATATATATATATATATATATATATATATATATATATATATATATATATATATATACAAACCTACGAAGATGTAATATAGTGACATCTACTTCCACATCCCATATCTATCTATCTATCTATCTATCTATCTATCTATCTATCTATCTATCTATCTATCTATCTATCTATCTATCTGTCTGTCTGTCTGTCTGTCTGTCTGTCTGTCTGTCTGTCTGTCTGTCTGTCTGTCTGTCTGTCTGTCTGCCTACATAGAGATCGATCAAACAGTCAGTCTTTCTGTAAACAGAGTATACCTGTAGGACATGCTCGTATGCCTTCTTTGCCAAGTGATCATCATCTTGTCCTGTAACCCATGGGGTTGCAACATTGGATGGGGGTAGGTGATCAGGTGTAATAAAAACATACTGACCGTTGGTCATTCGAGCAAAGTGAGCTCGGATCAGGATACGGCGTCGGTCATTTGTGTTTTCCGAGCACAAAATAACCACTGAGGAAAAGAAAAACTCATTAAACTTGTAACTGAGCTGGGCTGAGGGCTCCAGGGAAAAGATCAAATGCTCAAAGCCACAAGGCCAATGTAAAGGAGTGGTAAGGAAGAGCTCGAGAAACAAGTCACCCTGACAACAGAGGGCGTAGACGAGCGTGTGTGAATAGGTCTTAAAGAGCATTGCGCTTTGCTTTACTATTTTGTCCTGTGAAGTTCAAGTAAAGTCTGTCATGACCACACGCTTTAAAGTAAAACAGACGTAGAAATAAATACTTCTTTTGAAACAATGGACCTAAGTGCGAAACGGCTTAAACCAGCAAATGGCCCGTTTTAAGTGTTCAACCCAAACAGTGACTGTGCGGTACAGTCTGTATACTTTTTCTAGAAGAAGAGATATAGTCGTAAAAGATCATAGAGAAAAGGGGCCCTCCCAGAGCGAAGTTAAATTTCATTACTGTTTGAATTACTATGCCGCTAAATTTACCGATTTTACTTACTTCTTTACGGGTTTGAAAGTTATACTTATATTACAAATTTTTCTCTCCTCTGTATGCTTTATTTCGAAAAACCCCCAACAAAAAACGCATAGGATAGCAAAACGAACCGACAAAGGCTTAAGCCCCCTGTTAGTGTCATTTATTATTGTGTCTGAAATGATTTCTCTACTTCGAACGTTTTTCAAAGGACAATATAACTCATCACTTTCCAAAGAGACATGGCCTAATAATACGCATTCTTCGGCGCTGCTACTTTGCCCTGAGAGCAATTTTGTTTCCATTACGTATCGATTTTGTGCCCAGCGATTTGTCCTGGTGTATTTCATGGACAGCAGCTGACAGCGCCCTCGTTGTAAAGTGGTGCCGTTACAGCGGAAGCTCCATTGAATGTCTTACACTTACAGGCTTTCAAAAACAATCCTAACAACAGGTTCGGCGTGAATTCGATGCCCGAAAGGTTACCTGGTAAATAACAATTAGATGCCACTTGTTTCCTGTCTGTTTATTAAGTGGTGAAATGTTTGAGGCCCCCTTCCCACAAAAAGTAGTCAATGTCACATAAATTCTATGCCCTGGTGAAAATGCTGCTTTGTTTAGAACGGAGATTGGGGACGTGTCATTTGGAGTGGGTAATTTAATGTCAAGTTCACGGTTTGATTTTGCTCCCTCTTAATCGGGTTTCTGGCGAAGTAGTTTTTGACGGGTTGATAAGTACACATTGTTACTATTGTTCTATCTATTGTGGTTTCCATTAGCCACAGACATTGGTTGAGGGTTTGTACTTTAAACGATGGGGGTGATAGACAAAGATAGATAGGTAGATAGATAGATAGATAGATAGATAGATAGATAGATAGATAGATAGATAGATAGATAGATAGATAGATAGATAGATAGATAGATTTGCAACTTAGAAACACATGTATTCCTTTTCCCATAAAACTACGACAGCTACAGAGTTGAAAGCTGGCAGCACCTGTGCAAAAAGATAGATAAGCCCCCATGATGGAGCCCGATTTTTGATTTATTAATTTCCTGAACTTAGAAAAATATATTTGACCCAAATTTCACGTCCTTCTTTGACATTTGTGATGATTCTACTGAGAAACGAAACAAATCTGCGTAGCTCTCCTTCACAACGGAAGTTCATTACCGCTCTTTAACGTTCGCCTAAGAAACACGATTCAAGAGACGGGGTGAGTAATTTTTTCAAGACTCACCTGTAGTATGTGGAGACGTGATCCTGTGTATAGGCTACATCCAAAGAGTTTTTTTTTATATAGGGCCCAAAGAGAAAAACTTTTTAAATTACTGGGTCTAGATTTTTAGAAAAAAATATTTTTGTTTGGTTGCTAGCCTGTAGAAGTGCCATGAAACGTTTCGTGGGCATAGATAAATTTGTCGATGAGCTAGATTTTTTAACGCGGTCAGAGGAAAGTGAACAAGCTATAGACACAGCCTCTGTGATTTTGAAGACTTCGGGGAGTTCCCTTTTACAGTGTGTCAGTCCTTTTGTGGATTATTATTTTCTTAGTGCTTTTTGTGATGGTGTAAGGCGAAACCCGTATTTTGTGATGGTGAAGGGCTAGACAAAAATACACTAAAGCAATGAAGGTCAAGATAGGAGTTAATCAAAGCAGACGTAAGCAAAAGCAAAATAGATCTAGAAGCCTGGTGTGACTGTGAAAGGCTAGACAGCAATGTAGATGTAAAATGCCTACGCGGCGTAGACCAGTAGGAGCAGTGACGCCAAAGCGTCATCCCCGAGCAAAGCCGGGTATTCAGCTCGTATATGCATGTACATGTATATATCTATCTAAATACACACACACACACACACACACACACACACACACACACACACACACACACACACACACATATATATATATATATATATATATATATATATATATATATATATATATATATAAATACATATACGTATATATATTTTTTTTTAGAGAGATGTATAGAGAGAAGGGGGAAGATAGAAAGAGAGGGGGGGGGGAGGGAGAGAGAGGGAGGAGCTACTGTATGTGTGTGTATGTGTGTAAGTGTGTGTGTATGTGTGTAAGTGTGCACGCGCGCGTGTGTGTATGTGTGTTTCTGGGCGTGTGTGTGCGCGCACGTGTGTGTATGTATGTGCATGTGTGTGGGGGAGGGGGGGTGCGTGCGTGTGCGTGTGTGTGTTTGTGTGTCTGTGTGTGTGTTTGTGTGTGTGTGAGTGTGTGTATTTGTGGGGGAGTGTTTCCTATCTCTCTGTGTTCTGATTTTTGTTGTCTTTGTTTTTGCTGTTATTTAAGATTAAAACAAAAATGTATACAGGTAGGGTCTCTTATAGCCAGTCTGCCCTCGTATCATGTTATTTCTAAGACTAAGTAACATTTTCATTAAGAAAGATAAGAAAAAAAATCCTCAGACCTGAAACTTTAAAATGGTAAACTATCATCCTGAAAATGTACTTTGTCTAAAGGACTCGTAGCACAACAAGAACCTTGTTTGGAAGTTTTAGAAATTGGAAACGTATTTCCCTACATATAAGCCCATCAAGCTCAATATAACAAGGGTCCCATCCATTCCAAATGTCCAATAGATGTGACAATAATTACTCTATTGAGGCAGTTAAAATGTTTTTAAAAATTATTACAATGGAATTCTGTCTGAATCCCCCCCCCCCCCACCTCAATCCTCCTAAAATGAAAGATAGTCTTTATTGCTACAGTATCTCTGCCAAAAAGTACTTCAGAATACTGTTCGCAATCTCTCTGAGGGTGAAGCCTATTCCAGACATTAAACACAAAATATACTCCAATGAGTCACTCAGCCATTTGCCCGCAGTATACAGATTTCACGACCACAGAAACTAGTATGCGTATTCGTGTGTAACGCCCCTCTCATCGGATTTCCCAAAATGAAAAGAACAAGACGAGAAACAAACAAATAAACAGCAAAACGTCGTTGAGACCAACTGTTGGCTATTAACAATTTAGCGCTGAAAATATAAGAAAGAAAAAAAAGCAATGCTTATAACTATCACGCTTCTTTTCTTTCAGTCAGTTTACTTCATTGAAATACAGAAGAGGGGACACGAGGTACATATGAAGTTTTCGAAAACGAAGATAGTTTTTGGGCCTATCAGTGTTATTGGCTCAAGAATTGCGGAAATTTACAGGTCTCACCAAAATCAATTTGGACCACGTAACGCTGAAAGGAAATAAAATAAAAATAAAAAACAAAACAACAACAACAACAACAACAACCTCATTGAAACCGACCTCTAAGTACCAGTAATAATAATACCAAAGACAGCAAAGAAATTCACCGTGTGCACGATTAATCTTCCACCCCATGCTGAAAAATAAAAACCGTTCGAAATGACCTTACAGAACTTTCTCCTTCAGCAGGTACTGAGTTTGGAAGAGCTATTTGTTACCGGGACGTATCTACGCAACAAGCTTCCCAGGCAAACATTCAAAGAGCAACCTTGTCTGAACACCTCATAACATTTCATTGGTATGAATTTCAGATTGCACTAGGCTCTGCGTTTGGTTACATTGTACTCATTAACGTTAGAGTACATCTCTTTTCGCTGAGTGTTCGTGAGGGGATGATGAGAGTTCATTTCTCTGTAAATAATTCCTTTTGGACCAGTGTGACAAAGTCCCTTTTGGGGTAGAAAGAAATGAGGTCTCTTTTGGTCTAGAGTGTTCACCGATTTCTTGCTTCAATTTTGGAATCGATTTTTCTCGTTGCCTTCTGTCTCGCCAAATGCAGTTTTTGAAATAGATAGCCTGTAATTACAATTCTAAAGGCCTGATATGTATTTGTTGCCTCCTGCTAATCAAATAGAAGTAGAAGTAAGACTTCGAGCAGAATAAGTACATGTATCTTGGTTTTATATCGCTTTGTAGCTGTGTTAAAAATTCCGTTTTTTCGTCCATTTTTATAAGGCGTTCCTTTAAAGCAAACTTGAAAACGTACCTTATAATATATAAATACAAGCTGAGCCCCCTTTCGATGAAAGGAATGATCGATGCATTAACATCAACTGAAAGTCATTGGCCTATTATATTATTATTTACACTCTACTGGAATGGAGCAATAAATCTTGAGAGATGCAAAAAATTTGAAAGTCTAGATCTAGGTTAGATTTAGATCTATACTCTCAAAACAAAATGCACCTCGCGAAATATCACTTCCGCACCGGATTTTCTAAAATTACAGAGACAGAAGCGTCGGCCTACAAAAGCGATCGGCGAAATAAAGAAATTTAGCTTTTTGCATCAAAACTGTCTCAAAACTGGAAAAAATCGAAAGGCGTCATGATCTGGAGAATATTTTTAAGAATCTTTTAGCGAAAACCGCATGTCGATCGATGTAGCCATTAAAAAGCCTTTTGAATAGCAAAATTCGGCCACCACAAATAGATAATAGAAGAGCAGCGAGCTTTGGTGTTCAGGGGCGAAGGCTGACTTGTTTGA